CACCAACTTTGTGACAGTTAAAAATCTCATTTCAGTAGCTCAAGTTATAGTGCGAAATGTTCTTGTTTTAAATATTCTTCACATGGTTTAAACTGTTATAATAAAACAATTGGCTGCAAAGTAATATGTATATACTTATATTTTGTTGTCATTGCAATATATATTACGCTGAAAATTCCAAATTGTACCACGAATTGTTTGGAATAAAGTGAATCATTATCACTAATATGAGATATATATGTTTAGATTAATACACTTAACGCTGGTGATAACCTAACACCTTGCTTTAACCTTCCAACTACATTTTTACTGCAGGAAAATCAAGTTAGTTTTTAACAACGAAAAACTTTACGGAATGCACCTTATTCATTACAGCTCAACAATACGAAAAGATAACTAACCTAAACACAGTGACGATGCTACAAACAATTACGAGTCAGCTTACGTACAGTAGGCTGGCACTGACATGCCCAATGTAACGCAGTTAGGCAGCTCAACATGCTGCATAGCAGACCTAGCAGTTAAGTGGAGAAAACCACACCAAACGAAGACACTGAGTGAAATTACTCCAAAACAATCTCGTTTCACAGGAAATTTGAACGGAATATTCACCAGCAATACCAGCTGAGCAAAATTAAGTTTACGTGACGACATGCTGTTTACCGGCACTCCCTCTTTAGATGTTCCATGCAGCCTGAGCAAGAGGTATTTCAAAGTATATTCGAGACCGGCAGATGGCAGTGGTACGTTTATTGCGAGCTTCTTTGTAATGCCTCATGACTTCGGGTGCACCGAGGTGGGCGGCAAGATTCCAACACTTTTTCTTGCACTGTAGCAAGATTCGGATCTCGGGGTTAATCTACGGAGGACAGTGTTTCTGCCCTCCCGGGACAGTCGGCGGAGTGAATGGTTGGGTCACTTCTGCATATAACTGTTTGAAGGAGCACAACGCACTTTCAACTGAGGTTTCTGGACTGGCTGTCCGGTCCCCCGAAGAAGCCACCAGATTAATAGTTTCCATATCCGCTTTCTATGTTGGGTCTAGCTGGGACATAGGCCTAGTACAAGGCGCCTGCTGTGAATCTCAAGATGATCACAGCGTGGTCACTTTTACCAAGAAGTGCTAGGCGCCGGATGAAGCATACATCATCTGTATGTGAAAATACAAAGTCTAGAACTGATGGAGCATGCTCATAATCATATCTGGTTGGTGCCCTGATGCACTGTATGTTTCCACCAACCTGTGATCAGATGAATTGTTTGATAATTCTGTTGTTAGTCTATCCCAGTCAACTGATGGTGTATTGAGGTCTCCTAAAACTAGGCGTTAGCATTTATCTGTCCAGAGGGTCAGCTTACCCAGCAGGAAGTCTGCCGCCTCACATTCAGGGCTTCGATATATTATGATCACGTTAACATCTTGCCCCTTGCATTTTAGTCGGCATCGCAGCATTTCACATGTCCCACTTTCATGTGCAACTGTTTCAGTCGCTTTTACAGTTGAGGTGTTCCCAATGTAAAGGATGACACCACCACCCTTGTGTACTAATCTGTCACTTCTCAAAGAGTTGAATTCCCGTAAGTGCGTTTCAATGTCACTGATCCCAGGAGAGAGCCTAGTTTCTGAGATAGCAACGACATCAGGACTTTCTATCCTTATCGCATTAGTAAGCCGAGTCCACTTGTTTAGGAGACTACGTGGATTCTTGCACAAGGCAAAAAACTACTCAAGTGAGTTTCCGTCCAGCCCATACAGGCTTCTGCATCATATGTTGCCGAAACCTTAACTACAAGAAAACCCACTACTTTCAGGCCTTGTTCTCCAGCCGCTAATCTGGATTTTGGTCCTGCCTCTGGTTCTCGTTTTTCTATTCGATCAGCAAGAGCAAGGTTCTTTCGCGCGAACACTTTGGATCCTTAAAGTCTGTTAGCATTCTTCAGAGTCTGATTCTTTTCATCTACCGACTTGACCACAACTTTAGGTAGCCGAAGCTTATTTTCAGCAATGACCGCCCCCCGTCTTCTTACTTTATGTATCTTGAGCAGGATGACCTCTGGTATGTTTTCTGATGAAAGCTGCCTCGTCAAACTTTGTACCTCGCCAACGTCATGGTCGAAACGCTTACGCGGTTCTGGGTCTCCACTTTCTTCCACTCTGCGGAAGATTTCGGACCTGTCGAGGGGCTCTACTCCGTCTTTCCTCAGTGGGGTGATGATAGCTGGTCGGATGATCGTTACTGGCTTCTTGGCATGCTGTTTAGACTTGGCTACTTGCCGTTTTTCAAAGTCGGTTATGCAAGGCCTGCTAAAGCATGACCCAGCTACCCTGGCGCTGAGAACCTGAGAACGGACCTCGATCCTATTCCGTGTAATTTTCGTCAATGATTGAGTCGCAAAACTAGGTATGGCTTGCGGCCTGCGTGGTTTCCTTGTTGGCCCTGCAAGTGCTTCACTCCTGCTTCTTTCATCCTGAATAAACCTAGTCTTGTCGTTAGCAGTTTTCGGACTGGGTCCGCCAGCTCTGAGGATGCGAGAACCAGAAGTTACTCGCTTCACCCTGCTTGTTGTAGTTTTTTCCAAGTCGCCATCACGAAACCCGGTAGGTAGTCTGCGCGCCCAACTTACAGCTTGTCCTGGGACATTCTTTAAATTTCTGCACAGCAATCTGTGTCGATTGGTGCCGTGTCGTTATCGCTATCACAGTTATTGACTTTGACTTTCGACGACGGTTTCTTAGTTATCGTATTTAGAAGTCTTTTAGTATCTTCTAAGGGAGTGTGAATATCCGAGCAGCACAACGTACAAAGCCGGACACTTCCTGCGTTGCTGCACCTCTTATATGCTGAGGGTGTGAGGCTTGTGCAGTTATCGTGGAACCAACTCCTACTTTCGCTACACTGCATACCAGAGGCCTCTGTGAAGTGGCACCCAGCCCCATTACAAGCGTTTTTGCGACACTTTTGGCTCACCACGACGCAGAAACTAGAGAAATGCACCCGGTTAAGGTTTATGTCTCACTTTAATCAAATAATATTCCTATTAGAGCAAGAATACAACAGCCTTTGATAAGCTAACACAAAAGATGCCAAGAATCTAGGTGAACATGAAAAGTCACTGCCCTCTTCAAACAACGCGCCTCAATGGTCTGATTCTGGAGAAGTGTGTGACGCCACACTATTGTCATCTAGTGGGAGGGTGTGACCTAATGTCTCTTTCGCGCCAGGGGTATAGATCCTGATATCCGTGTGTCATAATTTTCCCCTAAATATCAATCCTCGTGAGGGCTGCCCAGGAATATACGAAACGCTTTTGAAGCAACAAAACATGAAGCCTCATTCCTCACGCTAATTGGTCATGGACTGCGGCTTTTCGCTAGAGCGAGAGATACCAGCTCGTTCAATAAGTGCAGTTTGGATGAAATCAGATCCTTCCAAACTGACTTGCTGTAAGGACGAACACAGGTTAAATTGGCCTGTTATCCCTGTTACTGAAGGCTTAGCGGAGGAAATCGGCTGGTTTGTAGAAGCATGTTAGACATATATCAGATATATTAGGGCCCTAAAGCTTCATCATAATCGAAAATAATGGTATTACTATGGCCTCATTGGCGTCTTAGCCCTATTTCTAAAAGTGAAAATCATTAATTGAACGACGCTAGTGATCCAGTTGGTGAAGTTACACCAGTTTCGAAGCGTACTCGATGCAAGAGAAAAACCAAGGGTAAATGGTACACCAACCTAAATGCCTGAGGACATACCAAAAGACTGCATTTCTGGTAACAGCATTGACTTTGTAGGGGTGGCCAACGAATCTACATGGATTTCCCTAAGAAAGCATCCGAAGAGACTACCTAAGGTTGTCATGGAAGATACTAACCTTATGAAACCTATTGAGAAGATTTCGAAGGTGGCCAACATACGACTTAAGGGTTCGACTCCAAGGCCCAGTTTAATCCTCTAGAATGTTGAGTAGTCATCAGACAAAGATGCTTCTATACGTCACGGCCATGACCTGCAACTAGTTGAGTCAATCATCAGACGTATTCTGCCTGAAAAGTCTAAGGGGTACACATCTCCAAAGTTATTGGGCTAGGTAAGAAAACGGACGAAACGTCTAATGAAAGAGAAATTTTAAGGTTGCTGTAGGCAACAAGGATGAAACGGATGTACTCTTGAGTGACGCATCCAAACCAAGAAATTCGGATATCAACATCTGACATGACTGGCCCCTTGGGGAATGCGTAAAAGAAGAGAAGCTGTTGCCGAAACTAAGGCTCGACAAGCTAGTGGAGAAAATGATCTTAAAATGGTGGGTTTTCGGGTTGTGAGGTCTTGGAGGCGAGTGCTTCCAGGTGAGGTCTAATACGAGTAGAATAGAGTATTCTGAACACGTCCTGATCAAAAAACTTGAAAGCTCTGTGGAAGGACCATAATATACGGAAATCCCTGAAGTGCATACCTGTCTGCATCGCTTTGCATGGCTCTCGAAATCTGCATTCAGGTGGCCAGCGCATGCCTAAAAAAGGATGCTGACTCACTCAAGCGTGTTCAAAGGGTAGGTACTAAGTTTCAAATCTGTCCTATGAGGAACGAATAGATCAGCTAAAATTATTCCCACTACCTTACCTCATGCCGGCACTTCGTATTCTTAATAATGACTTCGGGTACTGAAATGTCCTATCTTTTCACCCCTGCTGGGACTATCTCTGAGAAAATTAGGAAACCATGATCGAATCAACCTGGCGTGAATCTGCGTTCTTCCCATCATGTTTTCAAAGGCAGGAACTCCTTATCTCAGCAAGTAGTATCAACATCTGTCAACGCGTTCAAGGAGAAACTAGATCTTCAAAGAGATATCCTGTGCAAGGATTAACTTAAGCCAACTGGCCCACTATCCTTATAACTGAAACTGGAACCGGTCCGCCAGACCAAGAAGCGAGCATGAATAAAGCAACTGGTTTACACAAGCTCGTTAAGATATTGGATATGGGATATTGGACCATAGCAATGACCTAGAGCGTGGGTTTTAAAGTATAGGAGATGACTGCATCGGATGATGGTAGTGTTAACCGCGAGAAGACATGTCCGTTGTTATTGAGAATGTTTTGTAGCACAAAGAAGCACAACAATGTTATGGAATACTCAAGAGGCAAAACCCCACTGAATGAACTTCAGGTGTATACATGGTAAGTTCGAATACATTGGTATGAATTTATTGCGAAACATTTCACATCAAACATACTATAATGCGTAAGCAGTTGTTGTTTTCTAGCCTAGTGGTTTTTGTCTTTCACATTAGTATCAGTGTAAGCGGAAGATGATGACTTCCTAAGGTGTATATACAACTTCTGAAGTCATCATCTTTACAGGAGGCTACTAGGCCACGCACTTTGTCACTTCCTTTTGTTTAACTCCACAGATTCAGTCTAAATTCCCAGACATTCTACTGGTCGAGTTGGTGATTATTAGTCCTAGATTGGGGGAATAAACAAGATGTTATGGTCCATGTTTAGTTCGAGTCTTATACCACACTCCTGCAGTTGATGCCAAGTTAGATAAAATGTTAATACGGTCCATCAGAGGAGCCCTGGAACTGAACCTCCCACAAGTCCTCATCATGGAAGATTTTAACTCTCCTCAACTCTTTACCACGGAAAGTCCACCGACTGCTCTAAAGACTTTCGGGAATTATTACTGGAAAACTCCTTGACCAAACATGTCTCCCAGTGCACTCGCTGGGTGTTTTACGTTGAGGCCTCCGGACTAGATTATATTTTCACAAATCAGTCCATTGGGGTAACCAACTTGGATGTTCTCAGCCCTCTTGAGTTGAGTGACCGTGCACTTATTTCCTTCAATATTTTTATGTCTAAGCCACCCGCTCGCGATCAGCCACTAGTCAGGAATTACAGGAGAACTGATTTTGAGAAAGTTCAAAGTTTGCAGGACCCCAGTAGTCTAGAGGTTCTCCGTTCTAACTCCGAGGCTCATAAATTCCAAAACAACTTCTGTCATTTGGGAGGTAAAACCACGCATCTGTCGGACACGTATTACAGAGGGGCTAAACCATATAGAGTTTGAACCCTCTATAATTATGGTAATACTGAAGAATCTGAACCCGAATAAGTCTCCAGTAATTGATGGAATTCACCCAAGACTACTCAAAGTGTGCTGAAGTTCTGTGTGCCCCACTAGCAAACCTCTTCAAATGCTGGTTTCTGGAATCCAGGTCACCCTCTGACTGGAAATGGGTGGCTGTCATCCCAATTTATAAAGGTGGAAAAAAACTACTTGCCTCCAACCGCAGAGCAATCTCTCTGACCTCTTCAGTTGCGGAAGTCATGGAGAAAGTCATAAATGACTCGTTTCGTGATCAATTACTTAAGAAGTCAATTTTAAACGACTTTCAACATTGCTTTTTACCTGGAAGATCATGTAACACCAATTTGTTGATAGCTTGGAATAGCTGGACTCTCTCTGTTGAGCAGAAAAAGCCTATTCAAATTGGTTTACTTGAATTTTCCAAGGCCTTTGATAGGGTAAATCATGATGTCCTATGTCAGAAACTTCAGCTCATGGGTATACAAGCAAAATCATCAACTTGACTTAGACATTATCTTTACACCAGTTTGCAGTCAGTCAGAGTTGGCTTATCTCTCTCCAACTGGTTGCCGATGCTGAGTGGTGTGCCTCAAGGTTCTATACTGGGCCCATTGCTGTTTCTTGCTTTTATCAGTGACCTACCAGGATCCCTTGATTCTCATTCACCATTATATGCCGATAATCTAAAGATTTGGAGGGAAGTGCAGGTTCTAACGGATATTTCGGTCTTCCAGGAGGACTTTACGAGAATTCTTGATTAGACTACAGAAAATCTGCTTCCTCTCAACTCGAAGAAGTGTCGGATAATGATAGTTGACAAACATAGGAGCAGTCCCAGTTCTTACTCTCTGGGTGAAATGAATATCTGTCACTCTAACATGGAGTAAGATCTGGGAGTTACACTAAGTGACACACCAGGAGCCTCAGTCCACTGCCACCTTGCAGCCAACAAGGTATATGGATTCTTGAGGTCTCTCTCGCGAACTTTAGGGTGTCTAACTCCTCTTCTCACCACAGTGTGTGCTCTGTACATTCTCCCTCACCTCGAGAAAAATTCGCTTGTGATGTCCCCAAACTTGAAGAAGGACATATCCATCCTAGAACGGGTACAGACAAGAGCTACAAAGAAAGTGGTTGGGTTACGGCACAAACCTCACCCAGACCACTTAGTTGCTCTTAAGCTGCACCCAGTACAATACCAGAGGATCAGAGGGGTTGTGATCACGATGTACCACACTGCCCATAATCGTCTCCATCCTAACAGATCCCCTCTAAGCTTTACTCGGAAACGTGACCTGAGGGGTCACCCGTTAAGAATAGAGCACGTACAAAGATCCGTGCTGACTCATTTGCGGTTAGAGTCTGTAAACTGTGGAACTCCCTCCCTTCAGCAGTTGTGACAGCCCCATCCCCTGATACTTTTAGGACAAGGTTAGACGCACACCTCGAGTCCTACGGCATCGATGTGCTTTACTTAAGAAGCTTTCCGTCATCTGCAGATCAGGTGCAGTAATACTACCTTGAGACCAGACTAATTAATAATCGTTTATCTCTATCCATTCAAGTTTTTCGGAACGAGAAAGATAATTGTGACCATTCCAAACCCAGATCGTATTTCAATAAGACAGACGTAGAACCCTAGGAACCGCCGTTCACTAATTCTACAACACGATGTTTGAAGTTTGCTACCTTGAAGTGGTGGTCGGGCTTGCATGTTACAATGACTCGACGAGCTATGCTGGTAGTCAATGAAATCTCAGCTCGGAGATAGAAGGCCGGTTAGAAATTTGTCAGCTTGCATCATCTATGGTGCTGACTGGCAAGATATTCTACTTCTTGTTGAAGGACGAGTATACCGCGCGTCAGTCCGTTCTTGCCTGTTATAATGCTGTGAGATATGGCCTTTAGAAGTATAAGATATGAAGCGGTGACAGAGTTTTAGTCATAGGTGTCTCCGTAGCACTTCTTGTGTTTGGCTAAATCACCGTGAGAGCAATGCTAAAGCAAGGCGTAGGGTACTAGCGAAGATAGGAAAGTCGATTAATAAGGTTGTCGATTGAAACGGCTTGGATATGTACTGCTCATGCCGAGCCACCGCCTACTTCGACATGCCATGCTATAGGAAGCTGGATTCAATTGGGGGTAGTTTTCAGGGTCACCAGACGAAGACGTGGCACCAGTTGATTAAGTCTCTTACTGTTGGTCTGAGCAGTGTTGGGAGATTTAGACTGACTGCCTGGTATCCCCGAGATGAAAGGAATCAGTGGTGGCTAAGTCTTAGGAACACTTCTGGAAATCGGTCGCAGATGTATTTACTGCATGACGTCTTCTAAAGCTTAAATATCTTTCAATTGTTTTTTCTCTCACAACCTTGTTTACTTTTGTATCACTTCTATCCACATGTTTTTTTGTATACAATTGTGAATTGGGACAACTTGTAGTGATACACTCATTTGTGAGGTTCTACATAACTTTGTCTATGCGTGGTGATAAGGTTTGTTAGACACTGATATCCAGCTCAACAGCCATGTTGTCATGGTGCCGAGATTATTTTCTTTATATATCTAAGCACTTGATCTTAAATTGTTCTCTCGAAAACCTTAACATATCTACTAGTGAAACCTAAAGAAAAACATTTAGATACCGATTTACTGCCTTGAAATATTGGTACCATCCTTGAAGTTTGTACTGAAAAGTCTGAGATAAGAATATTTAGAAGCCATGTAGGTGGTTCGTCAATATTTCCGACTAGGAAATTTAATAATCCAGGTTGCCATGCCTCAAAACCACCCAGTGAGTTCCTGGACTTAAGGTCAAAAACAATTGAAAAGCAGGTCATTAACGAATTCGGATAAGCACTTGATTTCGGTCAGTTCAGACTCCACCAATCCATCCCACTATCCACTCCATATCCGAGATGGAATTTTATCGATTTCTTTTGTTATTTTGATGAACAACAACAGTTTTGGGACAACTATGGTAGTTACTCGCGAGTTGTATTTCACATACACGCAACTTTGAAATCATACCTTCGTATGGGTTTTGAACCTGTGTTTATAAACTTTTCTCTTCTGCCTAGGTTGTTTTTGAATACGCTTATTAAACGGTCGAAGACAAACAGAGAGTATGAAGTTTTCTTCAAAATAGAATCGCCGCTTCTTAAAACGTAGTTTTAGAACTGCCTCAAGCTCTCTCAATATGTGAACCGTTGTGGAACTGTAGCTCACTTGTATAGGGATAGCTTCTAACCCATCGGTTCCCGAGTTCGAATTCAGCCTAACTTACCCGGATGTGGGCAGGGAGCCCATAAGTATTATTAGTTATCTCAAAATAGATGTAGTTGATTTCCTGATACATGAATGCTCCCATATTTGTTGGTCGTTATTACTATTATTATTATTTTTCCCTTGGGTTCCTGGTGGAATATCGGGCTTCAGTAGCACGCCTCCGTTGCACTCTGTTCTCTGCAGTCTTTTGAACCTCTCTTCACCACTGCCCACAAGCTTCCTCACATGATCTCCTCCATGTCACCCTCAGCTGTGACGCCCAACTCGTTTTCTATTTGGATTCCACTCGAGGGCCTGGCCTGGCCTGGCGCGTGATGCCCCTGAATGGCCTTCTCAATGTATATCCAATCTAACTTTCTTCCACTGCATATTTGTTGGGTGATAGGTTCTTGGTTGGTTCGTTGCCAGAGTTCTTTGTTGCTTATTCTTTCTGGCCATCTGATCTTCAGTATCGAGCTAGTGTATGCAGCTGTTGATAAACGTCTGCAGTTTGTTGGAAGTTCTTTTCGTGACACGCCAAGTTTCTGAACCATACAGCAGCACTGACTTGACTAGCATCGGTGTTTAAAATTCGGATCTTGTTCTTTGCGCTGAGTGGAGTGCAGTAGATTTGCACAGCGACTTCAGATTAGTGAAAGCCTGTCTTGCTTGTCCGATCCTGGTTTTGATATTCTCGTCTGTCTAACCTGTAGTTCAAACGATGCTACCTGTCCAGGTAGGTGAAAGAGACAACTTTGTTTAGGTTTCCCCCGTTAGCGGTGATTGGTGCTTGTTGTTAATGCTGTTGTTGGTTGGGT